TTACCAAGTGGCTCCTCCTAGCTTGCTCATCCTGTTTTTCTTAGTCATCCAAGGACCACCTTCCAGGAATGGCATTGCCCATAGGCTAGGCCCTCCTATGTCCACCATCAATCAAGAAAATGACCCACAGACTTGCCTACAGGTCAAATGGATGGAGGAGTTTCTTCCAGTTGAAGTTCCCTCTTTCCAAATGACTCTAGTTTGTGTCAAGTTGACAATAAAACCAACCAGTACACACAAAACTCCAAAATCTAAAGATTTTGAGCACAGCCATGCCACAATGATGGAAAATTCCATACCTGAACTCAGGCCATAGGTTATAGCCAAAGTGCAGGCATAATAAAAACACCAACTGACTTTTAGTCTCTATGTATACAGTATATCTGAAATATATGAATTTTGTATGTATAGTACGGTTCAATGCTCAAGATATCTCATTGTCCATATACAAATCCAAAAAATCCAAAATCCAAAAAAATTGAAAAGTTGGAAAATCTTTGGTCCAAACATTTCAGATAAGGGATATGCAACCCTTACAATGTACTATCATCCATTCATTCTTTGTTATTCATTATTCAAAAAGTGAAATTCTTGTGCAAAATACAAACCAATATTATATAAGAAAACAAGCCAGGCATGAAAAGTCAAATATACTATTCCATTTATATGTAGGGTGTAGAACAGGCAAATATATAGAAAAAACAGACTACACTGGAAGCACAGATAATAATGAGAGTTACTTCTTAAGAGATACCAAGTTTCTGTTTGGTGTGATTAAATTAAAAAAAATACACAGTTGATGATTGCATAATCTGAACGTAATCAATGCTACTGAATTGTACATGCAGAAGTGGTTAAGATGGTAAACTTTGCCGGGCAGTGGTGGCGCACACCTTTAATCCCAGCACTTGGGAGGCAGAGGCAGGTGGATCTCTGTGAGTTCCAGACCAGCCTGCTCTACCAGAGCTCATTCCAGGACAGCCTCCAAAGCCACAGAGAAACCCTGTCTCGGAAAAAAAAAATGGTAAACTTTACGTTGGTTATATTTTGATGCACAAAACATGTTTTAAAATGTATTCTGCACAAATACTGCAGCTTAATTGCAGTCATTCACACTATCCCTTGTTTAAGGCAAATTTTAATCTAAGGATTTTTGGCTTTATTACTCATATGTTCTATCCTTAGCACATCTGTTTCTAAATCAATGATCAGAAATAGGATAAATATTAGCCACACTTGGCCTGAGATTCCATCTGAAGCAGGAAACCACTAGACTTCTGAGAGTCAAGTAAGAGGTAAAGTGGTTGGTGGATTGCAATCACTCTGAAGGGTCATTCTTCTGTGGAGGCTAATGTCACATGTCCATAGCAAGGGACTAATGCCCAAGAGTGTCTTGGCACACAGAGCCAATTCCTTTGGACACTAGAGATGCAGTTAAAAGATAGATCCCAAGGACAGAAACATCTTAAGCAACATCCCAAAGGTCCCTTTACCTCTTCATTTCTGTCTTCAACCACGCTGCCTACCTGGGGGCACATAGTCGATGGCAGCCACAGGCAGGTCTTCACCTGGGTTAAGTTCTCTTTCCTCCTTCCTGGATGCCTTCTTTCTCATTGGAAAGAAGTTAGCACAGACAGTATGGGAATTCAGAAGCCTCTGGGACTTAAACCTATTTGCACATGATTGTTTTTGCCACTGAAAACAGGGAATGAATGATTTTTCCTCTGGATACTCCAGCGGGACGGCTAAGTACATAGCTGAAGGCAAAATTCAATCCCTAGGGGCACAGACATCACCAGCATTAGAAACACTTAGGAAAATCATGTGTTTCCAACATTTTCCCCTTATTCTTCATTAGGAGGGTTTGAGTTTTTTTGGTGGAAGGCACAAAATAGCTTTTCTATTAAATGTTCACATTAGTCTGATATGTTCACCATTAGCATAATAATTATGCCATTTTCTCCCTTAAAGGCAGCACGTACTTCCATATGGCATTCCATTTGTCTTCTCAAATATTCTTTTTGGAAGTGTGAAGGTAACTGTTATTACCCTAATTTTTCAAATACATACCTTATACTAGAGAGGGTCAGTATTACAATCAACCAGAAAGTACTCCACTCTTGATTCCTACACCCTCCAAGAACACCTTTCAGAATATGTTTCTCTCTAATTGGAACATACTGCAGGGTTCTATAAACCGAGAAAGGACTAGAATGAACACTAAATATTAAATATGATTGACTTCTTGAACTACTAACATCTTTTTCCTTTGAAACCTCATATTACAATTAAATTGAGACCAACAATTTTCTGCCACAGGTTAAATTGTGATGACCCTGGTAACGTAATAAGTGGCAAATTAGTTGGGATCCATGTGAGAGATTCAATTGCCATTATTTTTAAGTTGGCACTTCTGAAATAGACTTCAAACTCCTTCTTTGATAACTGCCCCCCCAACTCTTTTTTTTTTCACAAACATTAAACAAAACTTTAAATACCGGTATAGTTTGACCAACAGACCTGATAAGTAAAGTACGTGGGGGCTGAGCTGGCTAGGTTATAAGCAAACAGATGGGTATGAGAGATGGCTATTCAGGGACTATAACTAGAATCATAGGTGAAGCCAGTATGTGTTTTAATCTGAGAGCCTATGTTTTAGAACCGTTTGCAGGGAGGCTGGAATGACTCCAGATTCCATGGTGCATGATAAAATCCAGTAGATATGCTCTGTTTATCACGAAGATAAAAAGCCTGAAGTCCAGAAGACTTAAGTAGCTTGCCACAGCCTGAAGTGTAGCTTAAAAGAACCAGGTATTTAGAATCTAGAGTCCTAACTGTCCTGTAAGCAGACAGAACCTGCTAAATGGAAGCCCTCTGTCCAGCTGAGCTCCAGGGTGGACTCAGATGGAGAAGTAAGAGCATAAGCTGGGGAGGGTCACATTGTTCCACCTAAGAAAGAATGCCTTCTAATGTTTTCTCAAAGATATGAGAGAAGGAGAGCCCAATCTGCTGTGAGCCACCATCGGTGATTCATTGGTGAGCCAGAAAATACTGGAAAATACCAGGCAGCATGAGTTAGTGGGAGCTGAGGAAGGAATATGGTTTTAGGTCCAGATTAGCTTCCACAATGGTTGGCAGGTGTATAGAAAGGAGAAGGGGACCCATGGACCAGGAGGAAGCAAACCTCAGGAATGGACATGGAACAGTATTGGGTTTCTGTGGTTTACAGAGTAGCAGGCTCAAGAATGTATTGAAGCTTTTGTTGTAACAGGAAGACTTTGAATTGTTTGTCAAGTTACATTAGTTTGTGACACGACTGAAGCTAAACAAAGGTCTTTTGATTCCTGGTCCAATGCTCTTTCACGTTATAATGGTGCTTTGTTTCGGTGTTGTTTCTTTTCAGTACACACAAGACTTCCTGATGAACAGGGCTTGCTACCTTGAATGACAACTCAGATCCCAGACACTAGAGCAAGAATCTGTCAAACAAGGGAGTAAATTTCAGAGTCTAAAGACTACCCTCTTCAGGGCTGATTCAGCCCTCACTCTATCAGTCAGTTTTACCCACCGGATTATTTTTCCCACAGTCTATATATTAAGACACAGGTTAGACCTGCCTCAGATTTAGAAATCCAGTATGTGTTTCAGCCCAAGAACACTAAGAAACCAATATTGTTTAAGTCTAATATCATGGAACATTCTGACCATTTCAGGACTCAGAACCTTCACCAAGCCTCTTTGATTCTAACAAAGGCATCTATTTGCTTGTGTGTGAGGCTCATGATGAGGAGAGTAGCTGCATCCTACTGCCCTGCTCAGAGGAGGACAGCATGGGATTTCACACTCTGCCTGTCATTGTTTTGGAAATGTTAAGGATGTTTCTCTTTCAGTTTGTGTTCTCTAAGGGATTCCCATAGAACATAAAGCAAATGCTGGGATCTGGAACCTCGTGGTACATAAAGTTCACCCTCTGGGAGAGGGGCACCTTCTGCTCTCTGTCTGCTCTCTTACTCCATACAGTATGTTGCCTGAGTTAAGGGTGATGCTGTGAACACCGCACTCACCCATGTCTGCTACCACACAAAGCAGCCAGCTATTATGTAGAGAATGAAAAGCACAATGTCAGCTTGTTGAACAAGGGGCCTTATGTTTTCGTTTTGCACCAAACCTCACAAACTATTGCCCATACTTGGCAATCTCAATTCAGTATTAATTTTATATTCTAAACTAACCACAATGTGTTGGGTCTGATTTTACTAACAGTCTCATCTGGTTTCAGGAACTCTTAATACTAAGCATAGAATCAGGTGGTTTTTATGATTCCTCTAAATTATTCTTACCAGAAGGTGACATTAGCAACCGAAAGGTTGGCACCAGTGTATACTGGGAACTTAATGCAAGCAATACAAAGGTAGGGAGGTTATTTTCACTGAGGCAGACAGGGGAGGGGGGTTATCACTAAATACTCCACAATGAAAATATTGTCCCTCTGTATTTTCTATTGGATCAGGGAAAGTTAAAAATTATAACTTGTTCTTATTTTATTGTATCTGTCTGTCTGTCTGTCTGCCTGCCTGCCTGCCTGTCTGCCTATGTGTGTGTTCTTGTGGAGACCAGAGAACAACTCATGTGTCATCCTCAGAAGTACCATCCACCTCTTTTGAAACAGCATCTCTCAGTGGCAGGTAGCTCACCAACTGGGCTGGGCTGGCTGGTCAGCAAACTTCGGGGATCCTCCCATTTCCTGTGCTACCATGCCTGGCATTTTTCCATGGGCTCTAGGGATCCAACCCAAGTCCTCATGTGTACAAAGCAAGCACTCGACCAACTGAGCTGTTTTTCCAGCCCTTGTTATTTCTTTCCTATGCCAATGCTGAGCCATAACAACATCATATTAAAATGGCCAAAGCTGGTCACAGCAGTGGGAGCCAGAGCAAGGTGAGAAGCAGCATCATCTTCGTTTGTAGCATTGCCTTTGGCTTCACACCTGAGACTCTTACCTTAAGCTTGGCCAGCAGAAGCTCATGATCACGAAGCAGTTTTTTGGTTTCATCTTGACTGCTGCCGATTTCCAGAAGATTGGGCTGTGATTCAGCCAGTTGGAGTTGTACCCATTTGCCACACTAAAAATAAGATGAGTGGAATGAAGTTTTCTCTCCCTTGCATCTTCTCCTTTCTTCACTTTTAAATTTTAATTTCTAGTTACACCAAGCACATTTTCTCCTTCTGTAGAGATGGCCTAACATGCTGAAACGCGACAGGTTTAATAGAAACCCATGCTTTGTCTTCTTTTATTCTTAGAACAAATCCTCTCATGGATGGAGTGTGGGTTTGAATTCTCTAAATTCTCGAATGAGGAATGTGTGCATTAGATGATACATTCTTCACCATCTCTAAGTCACTGAGCAAATCCACACAGTTCTATCCTCACAAAACAACTCTGGACAATTGACAATTAGTGACAATTCACACAGGAAAAGTGGGATGGGAACTGCGCTACAGGCCAGACCCCAGCAGTTCTCCATTAATACAGGCTTGGCTCTCTGAAGAGGCTGAAGCACGTTTCATTTGGAGATGACAATAAGGAAAGGGAGTTACAGAGAGGACTATGAGTGGGTCATTTTGAGAAATAAAATCCGATTAAAAAGACTCCCATATAACTTTTAAAGTTTGTATGTTCTTTGTACCTCTGACTATCCTATATATTATTCCCTAAGCACTGTGACTCCTCTTCTGGAAAAGTATCTTAAGATTGAGGAAAGTGATGTTGGCTTTCTTTAAAAACATTGTAGACTTGCCTCCTGTCCTTCCCTCCTGGAATCTGTGAGTTGCCCCAAGCACCACTAAATCAGGGGCAATCAATTAGTTTTCCTTGGTGCAGCTTTGATGCTTTGACATTCCCACTCATCTCTGCAGAGGAGAGGGTGGGGAGTTATACATCTGGAGAGGAGGGAGTGGGGAGTCACACCTCTGCAGAGGAGAGGGTGGGGAATCACACCTCTGCAGAGGAGAGGATGGAGAGTCATACCTCTGTAGAGGAGAGGGTGGGGAGTCGCTGAGGTCCTGTGTATTGGTCAGGAGGTTCCTAGCACTGAGAACTTGTCCTTGAACAGAACCCTGCATTCCATTGCTCAATGTGGCGCTCTGTTTCCTCCTACAAATTTTCATACTACTATAAAATTTGCAGCAACTAAATTAAAAAGGCCTCACAGCCAGCTTTTCCTCCTTCTTGGCCAGGTTTGCAGTCACTAAACATGAATTCTTTAGGTGGCAAATCTTCTAAAGACAAGCTTATATTTCAGAGTTTTCACAATTTCAATCAAATGGGACAAAATCATGGAAGTCTTTGACAATCCAAAGATGGGTGGCCATCTTTGCAAACAGCTAGACATAAAACAGACAGTTAAGCTCCAAGTGGCTGCACTTTCCTGTTCTCAAGAGCCAGTTTGATACACAGTGTGTGGTCTCCATCCCCTACAGTGGGAGAAGTAGTTAGTGCTGCCTATACCAGTGGAAACCAGTTCTGGGAGGCACTGCAGGAGTCTCTTAGTGATTCCAGTTCTCCATCAAGCTCAAGACAGTGTCCCCCTCTGATCTGCCTCCTCCATCACATCCATTCAAAAATCACAGGCGTTGCCCTGGCCCTCTGGACTCTTCACCTGACATTCCAGAACCTCTGTCACATGTGCTTTGCCTTTAAGGACCAAACTGAAAGTACACAGTAAAGTTTGTTTTAAGTCTTCGTAGATGCATTGTAAGCTAAAAAGCAAACTGGCAACTTGTTGAAATTTAGCAGTTCTCTGTCACTGGTTTAAGTGACTAAGATCACTTACTATTTATCATCTGTTCTGTGCTGTGTCCTGTGAATGTGTGCATTATCCTTTAGGGCTCTCAGCACACCACAAAGAACCCCCCCCCCCAACTCCAGCCACACAGAGAAAAGAAAGATGTGAGCTTACCTTGACAATGGCTATCACGATTTTGGAGCTCCCAGCTTGCACAGCTACAGAGCTGACTGTGGTAGTGGAAACACCCACATGGGGACTTTCTTTGCAGGACATGGCACTTTAGCAGGAGGGTTTAAACCTGGGGCAGCCTTGGTAGAGATGCGTGTCTGTTGGTCATGTCAAAAGGCATCCACAGGGCTACCGGGACTCATTCGGGGAAAGCTCTCTGCTCACACTGATTACCCAGCCAAAAGGAAAGAACAGGAAGTTAAAAATAGACAGCCCCATTGAGCTTATCGAGAGGGAGGGGGAGGAGAAAGAGGAGAGAGAGAGAGAGAGAGAGAGAGAGAGAGAGAGAGGAGAGAGAGAGGGAGAGAACCCAGCCACACCCCTACTATGGTAACAGTAAGTGCCTGTTATTTTTGCCATTATCTGAAACTCGAGGGACAACTTTGAGCTCTTTGCCTATCAGCTGATGTCCGATAGCTAATGGAAAAAAAAATTACATCCTGACAGCCCAAATTAGTTTGGCCACTGAAACTAAACAGTTGTTACTGAGGACTTTGAAACCAGAAAGTTGCTGCCCTGGATATCAATCCTTTCAAGTCTTCTTCATACAAAGAAAACTACCAAAAATGACCTTTATTGTTTCTTATGTTAAGTCACAAAGCTGATCAAAATATCTTTAGGTTAATCTGTTTTTCTAAAACTTAATGGACTTTGCCAAATGAAGTCTGTGGAACCATCACATTCCCCCAGAACTTCCTTTGGGGGGCATTTTAAAATCGTTTCCTTCAGCATTTATCAATGAATACACACACATCTTCCCAGGATTTCTTTGTGGTGGCTTTCTGAGCAGCATTTTCAAACTCAGCTAGCAAACAACTGTTAGAAAGCTCAGTACTTTGTTGTTACCTTTTAACTGCAGCAAGTGATATATTTTTGATTGTTTGTTTGAAGGTGAGCATGTTGTCACTTTTTTTTTTTTAATCCCTATTTCTACCTGGAGCAAAAAAGAAAAAAAAATGCAACCATCTTCAAATCAGAGTCAGGCTCACAGATTAATCCTTCACTAGGAGCCCTGCCTGTGTCAGAAGTTGTCTCTGGTATTAAGCAGCAGCTGTTGGATCCCTGTCAAAGAACAGCTGAAAATAACACTGAGGTTTAGGTCAGAGGTCAGAGGCAAACACATCAGAGACACTGACTCCAAAGCTGCTGCAACCACTGAAGATCTCTGGGATGAAAGACAGAATGGAGGACAGAGCCACGAACAGCCAAAGGAACCGGCTCCCTGTGTAAGCCCCTTAGCTCTGTGCTAAAGCATGCTAGACTCAGGGCTGATGCTCAGATGTCTGAGTAAGCGTTGATGCTTTCTTCTGTTAAGGTTTATGGAAATATTCTTGAGCTGAAACGTGTGGGCATATGCATACACATATACATGGTGTCACTGTTCCTTCCAAGAGCACGCCATGGCTGCTCTGCAAACTGGACACCCTTGACCTGGGCCTTCTGCTCTCAACATCTGCCTGCTATTCTGATGAAATGGGATCCACCCCAAGATTCCAGTTCCTAGATGGAACTTGACCTGACCCCACGAAAGGAGCAGCAGGAACAAGCTCTGGAGAGCAGGTGGAAGATACTTAATGGTGTGGAACATATTCAGAGTGGTTTCATCATTTTATAACAGAGCTGAGGAGAAAAAAAAATACTTTGGAGTATTACAGACAGTTCCTTCCACTGAGCAAGTCCATACACACCAATTCAACTGCAGCCAGCATTCAGCCCTAACAACCAAAACCCAAAATGCCCATGTCCTAAACGAAGTACACAGTGGCTATTGCTTCATTCCTTATTCATCTTGCCAACCAGAACGGCAAACATCAACCTGCATGCAAACAGCATACTTTCACCCTAAGTTAACCCCGTGGCTGGAAACTGCATGCCTCACAAGTTTTATAAAGGCCCTCAAGAGTGGAAGGGAATTTGGGGCAGCAGGCTACAAAGACCACAGGCTAAATTAGCTGCTCTGTTCACAAAGCTCCACTTAGGATGGAAGACTGTGTCAAGGGTACAGAGAACAGCACCGGACTTTGAAAAATGGCAATGAGTTAGACAGAAAGAAGAGAGATGGAAAGAAGAGCACACGGCCAAAAGACTAGTTAAATCCAAGGTTTAAGGGCAAGGGGAATTAGAAATAGGACTTTGTTAAAAGATTAATCCAGCTACTCAGCAGCATACTTTGTGTGTGGATGACCTTTTTCTTAATTAGATGGAGCAGGTCCAGGGTATTGCATCAAAAAAAAAAATGTTCTCTGCTTTGGTGGACATGAACATTAAGTCAAATTGCCTGCATGCATGCATTGCTAATTTTTACTCAGATTCTTAGCTTTAAAACTTGCAAAAGAGTCAGGCAGCAGTGGCACATGCCTTTAATCCCAGCACTCAGGAGGCAGAAGCAGACAAATCTCTGAGTTCGAAACAAGCCAGGTCTATAGAGTGAGTTCCAAGATGGTTAGGTCTATCCAAGGAAACACTGTCTTGGAAAAACAAACAAACAAACAAGCAAAATCTTGCAAAAGACTTGAATAATTTTTTCCCTTTTTACTTTCTTTCAACTCCACCCCCGCATAGTCCTCTCCATAGAAACCACATTCTCAGACCATACCATCAATGTCTGTTTTCTGCAAAAGTTTGCTGTAGTCTTCATCAAGAATAATGCTTAGTTAATAGACTGTCACTAACTCCAGCATATATTTAGAGAAGTGTTAGTAAGAAATACACTGGGCTAAAAGAAATTTCTACACCACGCTCAGGTGGATTTTATTCATATTAAAGTGGTAAAGGCCTTTGAGTTAGTTTATTTATCCTCCCCATCATCACCAGAAAACAAAACACACAAAAAGTCAAAACCAAAAGAGAACCTCACAGGCATTCTCCTGCCTTTGAAGTTTATAGGCGGCCTGGCAGAAGTTACTACACCGTCTCTGTTCACCCCTCTGGGAAATGGCTGTTTTTACTGAATTTCAGTGAAATGTCCTCTACAGGGAATCATAAAGCTATGACTGAATTTGATAGAGTTTCAAATAGCAGGTTCTTAAAGAAATAGAGTATTTGAAAACCTTTCTGTGCCGTTGCTTTGAGCTCTATCTATGGGTATGCTGTGTAAACACCATTTCTTTCCTGCAGTATAAACACAAAGAGTGGGCCCCTTTTTCTTCTACATGCTGTTCCAGGCATTTGTCTTGGTACTATTGTTGAGTTTTGACTTTACCAAGACAAATTACATAGACCCATTATAAATATTCCAGAAAGAGTCTATTATGGTCCTGTCATTTGCAGCCTCCTCATCAGCAACTTCTTCTTCCATACGTGTGCTCATGTCTTCATTCATCATGGAGGACTCAATATGTGTCTCTTAGTAGCAAGCACAATTCTAGGCATTAGGCACATAGCAAAAGCAGGACAAGACAAATCCAAGATGGAGTTTGCCCTCTGATGGAGTGGAGACATAACCAAATATATGGCAAACGTACAAGCAGAATGGCTAGATGATAGAAGGATGGATGGACAGATAGATGACAGACAGACAGAGCAACATCATGTCATGAACACTACAAAGGAACACACAGGGTGAAGAGAGAGTAAATAGGGAAAGGGGCTACTGTTTTTAGGAGGGTCATTAAAGGTCTAATAGGTGAGCTTTGTAGAGACTTGGGTTAAATAAAAAGAACGAGGCACACAGCTATCTCAGGGAAAGAATATTCCAGGCAGCTGTGGCACGCCTTTATTCTTGAAAAGCATCCAATAGGTTGTCGAGCTAAGTGAGGACAGAGAAGGAGACAGATAGAACATGAGAAGTAGCTGGCTGCTTTTCACAGGTCCTCTGAGTAAGCCGCTGGGTCAGGGGCTTGCTAGGTTGCCCCTAGTTTACACCTGTCCTGTCATAATTAACTCTTAAGATCCCTTTCATGATCAAAAGAGTCCATTTGATTGTGAGCCTAGCCTTTAATGGCTGAGCCATCTCTCCAGCCCCAAAAGAGTCCATTTGAATGATAAATTATGTGCTAACCTTACTGGTAAGCCAATAGTGATGCTTTTTGGTTTGATTCTGAAATGGGAAACTATTGCCTGCCTCTCATCCAAAGAACAGCATCATTTGATTTAATGTTGCTATAGAAACTCTGTGGAAGAGAGGCTGTTGGAGGAAGGCACAAAAGAGGGAGGTTGATGACCACAACACCACCTGGTGCACAAAAGGTCACACAATATGGTGCTAGAATGATTCTTTTTGAACACCTAAGTCATGCTGAAGAAGAAAGATAAGGGCTTCTACTGGCAATTTTATTCTCTGTGTGATTCAACAGATTTAGTTATAAGGAAATCTATTAAGTTCAAATCACAGAGAGAATAATTACAAACAAGCAACTTTGGTACCCAGTGCCTTTCCCATCTATAAGTGACAAAAAAAGCAAAATAAAATTTGGGCAAGTTTAAAGAATACTTAAGTTGGTCAAGAGATCCAAGTGGAACAAAGATTTCCCCTGGTCGGTATGTGTAACGCAATTCACACTTTTCTAATATTACATGCATACACACATACAGTTCTTCTCTCAGGCATCAAAATAATCTAGAAAAGTTCAAAAATTAGCAAAGTTAAAGTGAACAACAACAACAATAAAACCCTAGGGATCTTGTTGATATGAGCAAAATCCTTTCTGAATGAGAAAATCACTTACAATACTTCAAACCAGGGGAAAAAGTATTTTAAAAATCACCAAAAAGCTCCCCCCTCCCCGCAAACTTTTCTGTATGTCACTTCTCACCTGCCCTGACCTACCTACTCAGCCTCCAACATAGTTGGATCCTCTCTGATTCCTCTTCTCATGAAGAAATGTGTGGAGACTTCAACTCCAGAAGATGGCAATTTAAACTAAAAAGCCAAACAAACCACAGAGCTTTGGTGAACATGATTTTGGAAAGCTGCATTTCTTTTGTTTTTCCTTATTGTTGTTAAACTCCGGTTGAGACTGAGATTTTTTCCATCTCAAAGTAATCCCCAGGGAGGTCTCAAGGGTGACAGTCATTCTGGGGAGGCCAGCAGGGACACTCTGTGTGAGCTGTCACTTCTGTATTTTGCCAAGGGGAGACGAATGACCTAATTCAAAGCCCAGTGGCACAAAAATCAGACACCCCAAATGGCATGGCTGTTACCCATGGAGTCCAAGAAGGATGTTA